GGAGGTTTCAGAAAGACTTGGATGTTTAAAGAAGACCAAACGAGTGAAGTTAAAGAGTTAACTCCATGAAAAAAAGTTAACTCCATGAAAAACAAAAAGGTTTTGCAAGGAAGAAAGGTAAGTGGAATTTACAGATGAATTTAGGAGCAGAGTAATGTTAATGTGTGGGGAAATAGGGCTAAGACACAGGAGATGTTTCAGGAGTTTTACAGGGCTTTACCTTGAAGGAATATGTGGGTGTGTTAGTTCACAGATAAGAAGCTGTTTAGCAACAAAGGGAGTCGTTGTCAAAGAACGTCTTTAAAGCAACTTTTCTTCCAACCTGCAAGCTATCCCCTAGAGCTTTATTGCAAGGCAGAGCTAGGTTTGGGCCCAAGACTGAGAAGCTGATTCTAATGTCTACCCAGCAGACAAAGTGCAGCTGAACTATCTTAATCTTCAAGGCTATTTCTGCTTCACTCCTGACCACTTGTCTCTGTATTTAGAGAAACAGGTTAGAATATTATACCATCGACTCAGTGTTCCTGCTTTGTACATTTTTATCTTTAATTTGTATCCTCAGCTAGGTCTATTTTTAACTATGGCTTACCATGTTTATCTTAGAAAAATTTTGTGACCGTCTATTCTTGTAGACAGAATTAGGTAAGGGTCCCTTGAAACCTTTGGGGAGCCTTGAAACCTCAACGAATGAGCTGTAGACACATTTTTAACCCAGGAGTACTGCTTGCTGTAAAAATAAATACTGATGTGGAATTTCACTCAGGGCCTCACAGCTCATGGGCATGCTGGAGGCCCCCTGACTCTGGCACTTCATCCCTGTCTTTGTTATTTCTCTGTCTCTATTATTTCCAAATCTTTTGCAATAATCCTGCCTGGTTGCTGGGAGAGTAGGTAACTCCTGGCTTTAATGCTGGCGATTGTAGGATACAACTATAAACAAATGGCAAAAAACACTTCCCCATTCTAATCATGAAATCACTACCTAAGTGTCTTCATACTGGGAGCTGAACACTTCACTTCCGAGCAGGACTTACTGGGAGGGAGCAGACCCAAGTGTGGGGTGATGCTAAAAACAATTTGAGCCGGGCGCGGTGGCTCACGCCTGTAATCCTAGCTCTTGGGAGGCTGAGGCGGGCGGATTGCTCAAGGTCAGGAGTTCAAAACCAGCCTGAGCAAGAGCGAGACCCCGTCTCTACTATAAATAGAAAGAAATTAATTGGCCAACTGATATATATATAAAAAAATTAGCCGGGCATGGTGGCTCATGCCTGTAGTCCCAGCTACTCGGGAGGCTGAGGCAGAAGGATCGCTTGAGCCCAGGAGTTTGAGGTTGCTGTGAGCTAGGCTGACGCCACGGCACTCACTCTAGCCTGGACAACAAAGCGAGACTCTGTCTCAAAAAAAAAAAAATAAATAAATAAATAAATAAATAAATAAATAAATAAATAAAAACAATTTGGGAAGAGTGAGGTTGTTAAAGAGGTCAGATGGACAGTGAATGATTGGAGTTGGGAGGCATTTCTTTCTCTGCCTCTCTGGACGTTTTCCCATTATGAGAACTAATGAAGGAGACTCTTAGAGAATCGCTTGGAAGGAAGGCATCTCCATAGGACAACTTCATGTGGCAGTTGGGTTTTCCCAAAGCAAATTATGAGAAAGGGAGAGAAAGAGAGAGAGAGAGTGTTAAAGTGAAAGATAAAAGATGAAGCCACAGTTTCTTGTATACCCTAATCTCAGAGGTAACATACCAACATTTCTGCTGTATTCTATTTGTCACACAGAACCATCCTGATAGAATGTGGTAGGGACTACACGAGGGTGTGCATACCAGGACGTAGGAATCTTGGCTGCTGGCTAACGCACAATGACAAGTATTGTGATACAAAAATAAAGCAGGCTAAGAAGATTGAGGGGTTTTGGGTAAAGAAAGCTTCAAGGTGGTGACATTTGAGCAGATTTGAATAAGGAGCCAAAGCATTCTTGTTGAAGGTAGGAACAATCTTGGTGTATCGCAGGCGTATAAGACAGCCAGTGTGGCTAGAGCTGAGTCAATTAGGTATAGAAAGGCCAATAAGTTCGGATAGAGGTACAGGCCAATTATGTAGAGTTTGGCCACAATGACTATAGAGACAGTCTTTTCAAGGACTTGTGAAATGAAGATGACAGAAAAATAGTATCTTAGACACAGAGGCATTAAGGGTGTAGAGAGAGCTTTGTAAAACGGAGAGATACTCCAGAATATTTGTGCTGATTGTTTCACTCTTATAAAGAAGCACAAATTGAAGATGTAGGGGAGTACCCGGACATAGTTCCAGAAGCAAAATCCTTGATTGGGCGATGTGGTGTGGGGTTCAGTGTGAAGGTAAAGGACAGGAGCAAGGAAGCTTCACCTCTGCTGGCAGAAGAAAAGCCAGGGAACAGGCTGGCTGTATGTGGGTTGGCCCCCTCCGTGGTAGTTATAGTGAGATTAATCTTTTTTATTTCTTTGAACTTCTCAGTAAAATTTCTGAGGACATGGGTGTGTGTGTGTGTGTGTGTGGAAATTTACTAATATTGAGCCATCCTTTCCATCCTCTTTCAACATGATATATTATCTTTTATCAGAGTGTTGACTTGTTTATGTACTAATGAGTATTTTTAGAATGGAATATCTGGGAGGTTTATGTATTTTGTTTAATGAACCTCATAATATAAATTCAGAAACTTGCTAATCATTCCTATATTTGAGAAAAATTTAAACAGTATAGGAATTATGTTTTCTTTATGCATATATAAAATTAGATATTCAATTTGCTGTGTCCTTTTATGTTGGAGATGATAATGAGATGTATTTGGAGACAGTTTCCTGTCAACTTCTTCCATTTCTTTCAAGGTTAATTTTTTTTTTTTTTTTTTTTGAGACAGAGTCTCACTGTGTTGCCCGGGCTAGAGTGCCATGGCGTCAGCCTAGCTCACAGCAACCTCAAACTCCTGGGCTCAAGCAATCCTGCTGCCTCAGCCTCCCAAGTAGCTGGGACTACAGGCATGCACCACCATGCCCGGCTCATTTTTTCTACATATATTAGTTGGCCAATTAATTTCTTTCTATTTATAGTAGAGACGGGGTCTCGCTCTTGCTCAGCTGGTTTCGAACTCCTGACCTGGAGCAATCTGCCCGCCTCAGCCACCCAGAGTGCTAGGATTACAGTCGTGAGCCCAAGGTTATTTTCTATTCAACTTGTCATAGCCTTCCTCAGTCAAATTTAGTAGTTTACATTATCTTACAATAATGTGAATTTCGTTGAATATTTTACATTGGAATAGAATTTTACATTGTATTAGGCTACTCTTTTAAAAATCCATCTATCTATGGTAAATTTCCCCTTCACATTTCTGAAGTTTGGTATTTCTGAAGTTAGCATTTTTTCCCTCCCTCCCTCCTTTCTCTCTCTCTTTTTCTCTTTCTCTCTTTCTTTTCTTTCTCTTTCTTTCTTTCTTTCTTTCCTCTGTCTTTCTTTTTTTTTTTTCTCAGAGACAGGGTCTTGGTATGTTACCCTGGCTAGAGTGCAATAGTATAATCATAGCACAGTGCAGCCTTGAACTCCTGAGCTCAAGCAATCCTTCTGTTCAGCCTCCCAAGTAGCTGGGACTACAGGCCTACAGGCATGTGCCACCACACCCAGCTAATTTTTTTCAATTTTTTTGTAGAGATGGAGTCTCACTATGTTGCCCAGAATGGTCTCGAATTCCTGGCCTCAAGTAATTCTCTTGCCTTGGCGTTTCATAGAGCTGGAATACAGGTATGAGCTATAGCATCTGGTCTGTTTTTCCCTTGATTTGTATTGCAAGAAGCTTTCTTCTTTTGTGATAGTCTAAGCAACAGCTATTGAATCTTTTATAAATTTGGTTGTTGTTCTGTTTTCTCATGCAAGATAGTTGATTCTAATTTGAGTGGTAGACTGACAAACTTTGATATTGTGTAGGTAATATGTCACTATATGAACTAACTAACTATACATGATCTAGGAGAAGTTTAAGATAACTTTCCATTTCAAATTCAAAATGTCATGATTTCAAACTTCCATATTATGTTTATCAGCATACACAGCACACTAGCATGTTTCCCCATAAAAATGCTAATAAGAAATGTAAAAAAAAAATCTAAGAAGACTGGTAAGATGGAAAATGATAAAACTATAGACAAAGTGATGCATTTTTTTTTTTTTAACATCTGGAAGAAATGTTGTCAGGGGATATTTTAATGAGAACTTATGGCAAAGCTATCTTAAAAATTTTAATTTGGAAGCATTTAATTCCTTACAATTTTAGTCTACTGTTCTTCCTGAAAATAAATATTAGAAAGTTATGTATGTGATCAAATTACTCTTCATCTTTTTTGGTAGTCATTGTTATTATTGTCATTTGAGATAAGGAAACTGAGGGTCTTAGAGTTTAAGTTAGCTTACTGAGAAGCCAGAGCTAGCAAGCGAAAGAGGACTTAACCTCAAGTCTGAAGGACTCCAGATTTCTTTTCCCTTAACATACATCATGTTGCCTCCTTTATGAAATCCACTCAAGTTTTCTTAAGGAATGATGGGGGAACATAGGAAGGGAGAAAACTGAGCGATGATAAGAGAGGAGAACATGGGCACAGTGGATTTTAGGGAGAAAAGGCCTAGAACCACATTGATTTCTCTAGAAACCAGGGTTAATTATTTTGAAAAATTTAAGAATTTCCTCAGTCTCTGAAACTTCCTCACATTTGTTATATTTTTCTTATTTCCTAGAAACTATAGAATATCGTTAAAAATCTAAACATAATAAGAAACTAGCATGTGTGCTACAGAAGCCAGAGAAGGGGAGGAATAATGGCACTTTTTCCCCTGGCAGTGGCTCAATCAGGATAAAGGAGGGGGGCTTGCTGGCAGCATCAGTAGGAAGAGTTCCTCCAAGTTCTTAAATGGTATCCATACCCCTCAAATCCAGCCTCACAAACACCCAGAAATAAAGATGGCAATCAGAAATTGCATAGTGATTATTTAATTGGTATATCCAAGTTAGAGTTGTGATCACATTGTTCCAGTGTCAGAGCTTCTTGAAAGACTGTTGTCTTCTTATTCACTCTATGAAACAAACAAACAAACAAGAAAGTTTAGAGAGAAGACACATCATGGCAGGAAGTGTCCAATGCCTTGCTGGTATCACTGCAGTGTGGTAGGTGCACGGCTGCCTTCTCTCTCTCTTTCCCTTCTTCCTCTCTCCTTTCCTTCCTAATTTCTCTTCATTCACTCGGTTATTCATTCACTCCTAATTTCTCTTCATTCACTCTCTTCATTCACTCGGTGCACTTTAGTGCACACTATCAGCAAGGTCACTTGCTGATAGTGTGCACTAAATTGCTGCTTACAAGATGAACAGAAAACATTATTCTCGGGGAGTTTATGTTTTGGTTGCTGGTGAATATGTTCAGTGATATGCAGATGGTCACTGCAACACATCCGGTGACAGTGAGAAACTGAAACCAGCCTCAATGTCCAGTGACAGGGGTTGATCAAAGAAATCATGAAAGAAGTATGCAATGGACTAGTATATAATTGTAAAAATAAGTCAATCCAAATCAAACAAATGACAACCAAAATATGAAAATACAGAAGTGATCTACATATCTCTCTGAACTGATATGTCAGTTTTCTAAGAAATATGATTTTAAGTGGGCATCATACAGAACTGCGTTTAAAGTATGATATGATTTATGGAAAAAAAAGAGTTATATATGTTAATCACACATTTGCAAGAGGATTTCTCACAGCAAATGGTTAATGGTGTTGGCTTTTAGGGAGAAGGTGGGGAGCTAGGATGAGGTGTGCCTTTAATATTTAGCTTCATGCCTTTCCATTGATCATGTATTAATCGAAAAGCAAGTTTATGAAAAGCTAGATAACAATTAGCAGCATCAAGTTCAAGACTAGTTTAGCTGAAATACTGCACCACAGTGTCATTGTGTGTGGCAGGACTGCAGAAAAAGTGCTCTGGTGGAAACCTGAGAGGGCAAATTATTGACTTTCAGCACAGCAGGCAGAGGACCACAAGGAGAACATGGCTCTACTTCCTCACTACCAAGTCAACTTTAGACACATAATCTTTGAATGAAAACAAGTTTTGGGGCAGTATTTCTCAAAATCAGAATTATCTTGGCAAGCTTGTTATGAATACAGGGTCTTGCTACCCTATCCCAGAATATCAAACAGAAATCTTTAAAATCGGGTGTAGGAATATTCAATTTCAATATGTTTACAGTTGATTCACTGACACAATAAAGTTTGAGCAATGTAGCAGTTAGGGCCTTTGATGAAAAATGAACTAGAAGCATACCTGTCACTGAAATTTAGATTATTGGGATGGCTGGTTTTAGGCAGTGTTTTCTGAAGGAGGTGGTGGTGGTGGCCCTTCAGGTGCTCCAGAAGGAGGTGGTGGTGGTGGTCCTTGGGGCGCTCCAGAAGGAGGAGGGCCAGGAGGATGGTGGTGTCCTCCATGTGCAGGTGGTCCCTGATGGTTTCCATGATGAGGTGGAGGAGGATGGTGATGGCCTCCATGTGCAGGTGGTCCCTGATGGTTTCCATGATGAGGTGGGTGAGGGTGGTGATGGCCTCCATGTGCAGGTGGTCCCTGATGGTTTCCATGATGAGGTGGGTGAGGGTGGTGATGGCCTCCATGTGCAGGTGGTTTCTGGGGAGGACCACCAGAGGGAGGGGGTCCAGTTGGGTGTCCTTCAGGAGGTGGTCCCTGGAGTTTGTCTAACTCCTGCTTTAGTTTCTCTTCCTCTGTAAAAGTAATCCCCAAGAATAGCTGAACTCAGTGATGAAAAACTCCCCTCTCATTTCACTTCTCTGACCCTATCACACAGCCCCTTTTCCCCACAACCTGCCTCTCAACGGCCACCCTCCCTTCTATCCACTGCTTCCTTATGCAGATCTCCTCTTAATTTGTACACTTGATATTGAATGTCTTTCTCTTCTTTTTTTTTGCTTGTGAGAAAAGAATGGGTCCTTAAAATTGGTATAAAAGTAGATCTTGAACAACTTAGAATCCCCAGAGGATGTTGCCAAGGTCAGAAGAGAAGCAGAGCGCTCATGAATATGAGTTGTCAGTTACATTTCAGGCTACTGCAATTACCTGCTAACTATGACTCTAACTCTGGGCACTTGAGCTCGATGGGAAAATCTAGAGCTGGTTCCCCAAGTTCGAAGATCCAAGTAAAGAAACAGAGAAGAGAAAGACAAGGTGATGGCCCACACTGATTCACTTGATAGCTGTGGCACATTTTCACCAGGAACAGGGACACAGCTCAGTGTGTCAATGCATAGAAAAGAGAACCAGACACTGATTTATTTGCATTTCTCCCTGAAGTCAAGAACCATGAGAGGAACTCTCTGGAGGAAGGAAGCAACTGAGGCTCTCGGGAGGATGGAGGAGTCAGAGTGAGGACATTTCCCCTTCCTCCACCCTCTCTCAGTAGTCAGCCCTGGCCTGGGGTATTAGGCAACACCTATTGTCATCTCAGCCAGGGGATCTGTCACTCAAGTTGGTTGCCCTGCTCATGGTCCTCAGGGTCATGGTTGGGTGAAGTTTGACTGAGTCTGTAGAAGAACTAACAGTAATCAATTCCTGATGAGGAAACGATGGTGAGATGACCCTGGAGAGCTGGAAAATCCTAAGGGAAACTAGGAATAGAGAGTTGATTGAGGATTATTGGAATTTACCTGATGATCCCAGAGAAGACTCTTCAGACTGGACATCTAGGTAAACAAGCACAGGATGAGATTAAAGTCACATCACAAATCTATCAGGGCTATCAAGTATTTCATAGGAAAGGGGACTTCTGTCCATACTCCATGTATCCCCTAAGTTAACTCTCCTCCCCTGTGTGGTGCTGCTAGAAAGGGAGAAGTCATGAGGAGGAAGCAGGGTTGTCACTGTGCAGAGTGTCAACTATGAATTCAAAATAGAAGAGTACCTTTTATCCTCCCTGGGATCATAAACCTAGTGGTAATTTAGGGTGAGTGCTCTGTGTATTTCAATGTGATATTTTAGTATTCTTCTGCTCTCTTTCTTCTCTAATTACTTTCCTTTATTAACACACTTCCTCAAGGAGGTAATCAGGGAGTAGATATTTGGATATGATATTACACAGACTCAGATTGAAATTTTAAATGTGAGTGGGAGAACACTGATAATAATAGGCCCTGATATTTGTGTATCCCTATGGAGAGAGAGACAAATTTGTTATCTGAATGTCCATCTCTGAACTAGCTTGGATGTTTGTTCATCTTCTTCATTGATCCTGCAGCCAATGTACAGGAAGGCCACTGTCCCGACTGTCAACTTTGAATACTATGGTAAGTTACAACGGGACTTCCCTGGATCAGTCTTTTCATCCTCCACAGAACAGTCACAGAGATCTTTCTAGAAATGCAAATCTCAATTTGTCATTCCTTTGGTCAATGTTCTCCATTGGACTCTAATGTACTTTATTTATTTATTTGAGTCAGAGTCTCGCTTTGTTGCCCAGGCTACAGTGAGTGCCGTGGCATCAGCCTAGCTCACAGCAACCTCAAACTCTTGGGCTCAAGCGATCCTTCTGCCTCAGCCTCCCGAGTAGCTGGGACTACAGGCATGCGCCACCATGCCCGGCTAATTTTTTCTATATATATTAGTTGGC